CATTTTTCAGCTTCTAATACTGCTTTTATCTGTGAAAGAAATAATCGAAAAATAACTGATTATTATAATGAAGCGTTATTGCCCCTTTGATTTGTCACAAGATGGCTTTGTAGCTTCAGTTATTCAGAATATTCATTTATCCAACAGCATCCGGTCCCCAAAGGTACCGGCTAGCTGACACGCAACTGTACTATCATATGTAGTGCCCTGGGTAGTACTCTGTATGCAGCAGGGTTGGCCTCACGCGCCTCACACCCGGCTCATATCATAATGCATGATTGTACAGGACTGTTATACGTCTTCATGTATGTGTCAAACAGATCAGAATAGCGCTGTTTCAAGGACGCGGCGCCGTGTTCGCCAGCGGCGTTTATCCCGAGATTGTGGTACATGTATGTAAAAAACGCTTTGAAAGGTTTATAGCGGAGCTACAAGTTACGCTATAATGTCCACTATCACCACCAGTTACTTGACGATCAGCTCCTGCGATAACATAGTTGCATTGCATGGCACTGACCAACGGTACTGTACTGGCGGGTAGCGCCGAAGAACGGCCAGGCTAGAACGTCATCAAGCACAGCATACCAGTGTATACACAATGTCATCAAGCACAGCATACCAGTGTATACACAATGTCATCAAGCACAGCATACCAGTGTATACACGATGTCATCAAGCACAGCATACCAGTGTATACACAATGTCATCAAGCACAGCATACCAGTGTATACACAATGTCATCAAGCACAGCATACCAGGGTATACACAATGTCATCAAGCACAGCATACCAGTGTATACACAATGTCATCAAGCACAGCATACCAGTGTATACACAATGTCATCAAGCACAGCATACCAGTGTATACACAATGTCATCAAGCACAGCATACCAGGGTATACACAATGTCATCAAGCACAGCATACCAGTGTATACACAATGTCATCAAGCACAGCATACCAGTGTATACACAATGTCATCAAGCACAGCATACCAGGGTATACACAATGTCATCAAGCACAGCATACCAGTGTATACACAATGTCATCAAGCACAGCATACCAGTGTATACACAATGTCATCAAGCACAGCATACCAGTGTATACACAATGTCATCAAGCACAGCATACCAGTGTATACACAATGTCATCAAGCACAGCATACCAGTGTATACACAATGTCATCAAGCACAGCATACCAGTGTATACACGGTTACTCAACTGTGCATACACTGTAATACAGTGAAACCTGCCCAAGGGACCTTCAAAATGTGGTCTCTGTTACCAGGTGGCCTCCTTATCCAGGGTTATTTGACTGGAAATAGCATCCTTTGATCCTGGTTTCAGTGGTCTTCTTGGACAGGTGGTCGCCTTATCCGAGTGGTCGCCTTGACAGGTTTTACTGTACATAAAAATAGGACCAGTCTAGGCTAGAAGGCTGACCCCCCAGCTCTTCGGCGATCGACAGTACTGTACTGCCGTTCTACAACTAACTAGCAATCAACTCTAGCACGTCTTGGACGCGCACTCCAACACAACTTGGTAGGCTGAACTTGGCTGATTGTCAAGTAACTGGTGGTGTTAGTGGACATTATAGCGCAATGTGTAGTTCCTTGGTCATTTTTTTCGCTATAGATTAATCTTTGGCTCTCCATCCAAGTCTAGCTTTGAAAAGTATACGAAATGTGACATCTTCGCCTCCACCAGCACTTGGAACGATTCTGAAGCTTGTTCTTTTCGCCCAAGCCATGGAAGGGCTTCTTGGAAGCTGCTCTGATTCAACACGAGTGTTGGACATGAAGTTGAATGTCATCCTAGTCTGTCCGCACAGAATTACGCGGACAAAATCTTAAAATTATGCACATAATTATGCGGGCGAAAACAGCCCGTTATGCGGCAAATATGCGGGATTATGCGGCAAATATGCGGTATAATAGAGTGGTTCTGCATAACGTAATTACGTTAGAAAAAACGTAGTCGATCTATGGAAAGTCTTACGTAAACTGCATGCTCATCTGGGTTCCGCCATACGGAGTTTTCAAATCACGTAGCTGCCCTTGGCAACTCCGAACGCGGCAGTGTACGACCAGATCGACCTGGGGAGAGAGTCATAAATTTGTACCCCAATCCACTTACGGACCAGCTACGTTATCAGAGCCCTATCTACGTACTCTCCGTAGACAACTTTCCGTAAGTGGAGTGCAAACTCGCGAATTCACGGGTTTTTCCCGCCCACTAACGTAAAGTTGCTCAACTTTACGTAGTGCGGAACCTCTCTAATGCGGTCATTATGCACGAGTTATCTGTCATTTGTACAACTTTAGCGTGCAGTTTCATGCAAGTATACAACTTTGTCGTACAACCTCATGGACCGGTACGACTTTGTAGTACATTTTCAACATCATGTACTATTTTCTTGTACATTCCCGTGAATAACGCGGGTTTTATGCAAAATCTCTCGAAAACGCGGATGAAAGCCAATAACGCGGAAATTGCGCGTCCGCGGTATCCGGTGGGGACAGCCTAGTGCTCCATAGTAAAACATGTGCCCGATAGTCGTATTGCAAAGATGTTCTTTCAGTTCGAATAACACACATGATGACCCAGGTAAAACAAAGCATATGAGGGCTCCTGGGCTTTCAAGCCCTCTTGTTTCCGTCTTTTTCATCCGAGTAGTTTTCGGACTAAAGTCAATTTGTCCAACTTTTCAATACGATTTATGGTCCATGGACTAAATTTTCAACCAGTCTAACTCCCTTTCTTTGGAGTTGGACTAAATTTTTCGCTCACTAAATTTTCTGCCTGTGCAGTAGTAGTAATGGATTCAGTCGTGAATTCACTTGCACCTCAATTCTTCCCAGCTGCATGCTACAGGTCTACTCTCCATATAACGTAATCTCTGGGACCACGCAAAAATTATGTTATATTGAGAGTTATGTTATGTAGAAAACCGTGTGTAAAATACAAGATGTACCACAAAATGAAGGGTGTTACAAGGCGGGTTCAATCGTGCAAACATATACATACTGTACCACCATCGACATCGGATACCATCAATGCCGCAGAATTTAATGCACATAGGACTAAACTGGCTAGCTACGACTATACAGCTTGATTGTGCCGCGCACCTGAATCTACGTTGTATCGAGAGTGTACACGTCGGGGACTGCGCCTAGGGTGCGTTATGCCGAGGTTTACGTTATGTAGGACTAAATTGGCCTAAACTGCCTAGCTACAGCTACCGCTTGATCATACCGTGCACGTGAATTTATGTTGTATCGAGAGTGCGCACGTCGGGGACCGCCGTAGCGTGTGTTATGTCGAGGTTTATGTTATGTAGGATTATGTTGTGTAGAACAAAATTTGTATGGAAGTGATGCTGTTTCGGCGCGGGATTTGGCTTTTTTATGTACTAACGAGGTTTATGTACAAGTGAGAGTTGTTATATCGAGAGCAGACCTGTACCAAACTGGCTTCTTGACATCCACTTGACAAGTAGACAAGAAGTACACTCAAACGTCTCTTATCCGGACGCCTCAGGTACGGGCACGTCTCTCTACCGGGCACCTTCAGCTTGCGTTCCTATGGCAAAAAGCTTCGAATTTGGTGGGTTTGAACTTTGTTTGTATGTGCAAGTGCTTATTTGTCACTGCCAACCTGTGTAACCCACACATCTTTATCGATGAATTCTTTTGTATCCTGAACATGTGCAATATGTGCCGAATAAACTTCTTCAAAAATGATATGATACACGATAGATGAGTTACCCTGAGATACAGGAAAATCTGAGATACGGACAGTACCCGGTCCCAATAACATACAAGGTGCCCAGATAAGAGACGTCTCCTAGTGTATGTGTAGGCATAGGCCGTCCGTTCGTGGCGCCACCACCAACACAGTACTACACCCTACGCAGGGAGTGAATTCTTACCTGAGTCCCTCGTAACCATGGTAACACTACTTTACCTGATTCCGTCGTAACAGTACTTTAAGGGCCATCCGTAAATATCGATATTTTATCACGAAACGAATTCATTTCGTTTCAACCCAACCCCTAGCCCTCCCTACCTCCCCCCTCAGAACGTAAAAAAAATGTTGACAGATACATGCATACCGTACTCGCTCGATTAGAAGCCCCTCTCGAATAATCCCCCCCCCCCCCCCCCCCCTCCCCACAAGGACTGTTTGAAAAAACCCTCTCGAAGAGAAGCCCGGACTACTATTCGCGAATACATGTCCTGGTCGACGTAGTGTGTGCAAACTAACTCGGGGCCGAGTTGCTGTGAATATGAAAGTTTTAGAGATTTGATTGGAATAACTGGTACTGGAATGAAGCTATAAAAGCCCCTCTCGAATAGAAGCCCCTCTTAAATAGAAGCCTCGTCAAAATTGGTATTGAAGATATAGAAGCTTCTAGTCGAGTGAGTGCGATATACAACAAAAGTCGTAAGTGTGTCAGTACTCCAGTCTCCTACTTCCATGTACCGCTGCTTGAAGTACAAGTATCAATGTTTTCTGAAACGAAATTGGTCAACTCCTACCCCGTAACAAAAATATTTCGATAAAATGTGTTGGTGTTTATATGTTTCTCGCTTGATAATCTTCTATAATAGTTGTACTTTCCCATTCTATCCATTAGTGCAACGAACACTTCCTGAGGAGCGTTGCGCGAAAACTAGTTCAAAAATCTCTTTTAGTGTTATGCATCTTTTTCCCATTTTGTACATTTTCTTGTTCATGACATCCATAGTTGGTCATCTTTCGGTTCGTTGTTCAATAAATGTCGATCCAGCTGGTACTGCTGATTGCAATTTTGAAATTACTGTCGCCTCGCCGTTTATTTATGAAAAAAAATTTGATATCATGGACGACCGTCACCCCTTACCTGAGCCCATCATAACAGTACTGTCGTATGCGATCTTACAGATTAAATTTTTTTTAAATCGGTACCATGCAATCATATTATTATAATTATGTATGGTTGTTTGTGTTCTGCATGCAGGAAATACATGGAGATGCGAAGGATAAATTGATCTTGCGTGAGTTTGGGCTGTTTATCAGAGGACACCTTGTATCCCAAGCTGTTGGAGAGCACCGCGTCTTTGGTCCTGAGTCTCAAGGCAAGTCACTTGAGTCAGCCCGCTCATCAGCTTTGAAGCGCTGCTGCAAGGACTTAGGAATGTACCGGGAACTTCACATTGCTCAGGTACGTGTATCTTGATGATATCTTGATGATATCTTGATGAGGATTTATCTGTTCACAATTTACATGTTTGTTCAGCACCTCCACACGAGCGACACTGACTCACGCTGCTATCTGGTGTTCACGAGATGTTTGTCGCGCTGGAAACGAAGCGTCTCTGTAAGTTTGTATCCCTGGTGATGGTTTAGTCTGGAGAGCACTATATAAGTGGTGCTCTTCAGACACAATCTTCCTCGGCCTACTCAAGCTCAACTGATGAGTGGTGAATTCCTCGAAACACTGTGTATTGAACAGGGAGTGGTGCTTTCTTGCAGGTTTGCCGAGTCGAATGTTCGATGGACTTCTTGTGTGCTCTGGATGGCAGTCATGAGTCAGTCAAGTGAGAATTCAAGTCGGCCGGAAAGGCGCGAGCTCCCACGTAGGGAGCAACACACAATTCCCCAAGTATCGCCAATGTTGCACCAACCTCTTCTCACAATTTACATTGCCTTACTATCAAGCATGGGAGATACATTGCTGTGACCGAGGATTATGAGCTACGGCTGGCCATAGCAATTTGACCGACATGGGTCACTTGTGTGATGGAGGGCATGTGTGGCCACAGGCGGGGGCTGAGAATAGTTCGTGAGTTCGTCAAACAAGCCGTACAGTTTGTCAGAATGTTTCGTTCGCCTCCAGCAAAGCTACACATCCGTTGTTACTGAATTCCTCCATACAAGGTGATATTTCCACTATCCACTACCGTTCTACAAGATCTACCTTTGCTGACGAGAGTGTTATACTCGAAACAGCTGTACGATGGAATTCGGTACCAATGGATGTGTCGCTTTGCTGGTGGTGTGCTGTGGCAACGTGTCGAGGTCCGCTGGAGAGCGCAGTTCTGGTGTGGTGATCGATGAAAAATCTGTACTGGGCTGAATACTGCTGCTTATACAGGCTGTTACTCATCTTTTGCATTTATCCTATCCCATACAGCAGGCAGGCATAGTGGGATGGTCTAAGACCATGATTGAGAAACAGAGGGTACCAGGTTCAACTCCTGCTTGGAAGCGGAAGGAATTTTTCCAGCCGTGCTGGGAACTCGTGGCCTGGCACGAGGGTAACATGGATGCAGCTAATGGGATTTCGGTCTTACTTTGACCACTTGGTGGTCTGATCTACTCATCTCCCACCGTTTAGGCGCTGCATCTGCGCCTTTGATCCTAGAGGGTGGTGGCGTTCCCATGGCGGATGCGGAAAACTTGACTTCCAGCCGAGTCTCACGCGAACCGTGAAATTTATTTATTTATTTAAACAGTATAATTGAAACAAATCTTTCCCCTCTGTATTATTTTTGAAGTTGGTTGCTCCAACGAGGAGCACACGCTTCTTGCAACTTCTAAGTTCTATATTATTTTATTATTTTATATAATATTGCTTCGAAGTATGTAATTTATGTTCCTGTGCTTCCATTTTGGCTCCAGGTCAGCAGTGAACTAAAACACAAGCTGTTGTTGAAGAAACCAGGCCAGAAAAAGCGATATTGATTCCGCAAGGTGCAGTGGTACTGTGGTATTTTCTTTACCATGTGTGCAAATTTACTGCCAAAGCACCACACGAGGTCCCATTTTTGTTTCCTAGGCTTTGATAGCCCTTTTTGGTGTGCGGTGTGCGCCGATAGCTACCTGTTTTCTCTAGAGTGTGCGATAGCTACTTGTTTTCTCTAGATTGTGTTCCCAAGTACTTTTGTGCTTTGCTTCTTTTTGGATCCTGATGTCGCATTTCCCTTGCTAATGCTTTTGGTCCTTTCGTGCGTAAGTTTGCATGTGTATGCAGGACACCCTGCATGCCAGTACGGCCCCCATGTCCATGGGACGCCAACCAGACCGTCTTCTCACTAATTTGCTGCTGGCAAGTTGTTGTCATCATGCATTGTTACTTCCACACTTTACGTGTTTGCAGTGACTCGCAGGCTGTTTTCGGGTTCCATGTCCTCCGTTGGCTTTTCTGAGTTTTCTCGCTTTCTGCTTGGTGATGATCGCTTTCCTTTGTGTGTGCGCGTGCGTGCGTGTGTGTGTGTGTGTGTTAGTATATGCATGTGTGTGAGTGTGTGAGTGTGTGTATGTGCGTTCGTGCGTGTGTGAGTGTGTATGTGTGTGTCTGTCTGTCTGTCTGTCTGTCTGTCTGTCTGTGCGTGTGTGTGTCAACAGTCACCAAATTAGCTCAGTAGTGGCTTTCGAAATAACTTCTGTGATGAGAGTCGTTCTTCTTTGATTGAAGCTTCTCTTCGCCTTCTTTTCTTCTTCTTCTTTTTGTGATTGTTGTTTAGTTCAGATATCTGCTTGATAGTATAATACTAGTACCGTAAAGTACCGCCAGAGCGCCCCGTCTCGCCAGAGCGCCCCACCTTGATTTTACAGCCAGGGAAAGGAAAATCGTACGGCAGAGTGCAACGAAGTTTGTACGGAGTGATAACCTTAGTGTACTAAGGTCACACTCAGCGGGGGTTGTGTGAAGCTCGTACCCGCTCAAAGGTCCGGATTGATTGCACAATGTGCAATGTGTGTACATGGTTCGAGTCGTATGCCCTATAGACAGCGGACCACGTCCACAATACGACCACGAAAGGACGAGATGGTGGGGCGCTCTGGCGGTACTTTACGGTACTATCAAGCATTATTATGATCATCAGAGATAATCATAGTGCGCCCATCGTGGCGAGAGTACCTTAGTGCCACATTTTGGGAATTAGCAGCACACGGAAGTAAACACCGCCACCTTTCAAATCTGCAGAGTTTTCACAAGACTAGTGACTAGGAGTCAAAGGGGTGTTCCAGGTACCCGCTCATTAAAGTCACTACGGAACAACACTGCTGGTATCACGCATTCCAGATGGCAGTCAATTATTTACAACTCCACGCTAAATGTCTGCATTGTTGCATTTTTCGCACCTACATGTAGTAGATCTAGTCATCTATCTACCTCTGCAACTAGCAGACTAGGCTTTCCCCAAATCGGCCCTTTTTTCGCCTATTCGGCTTTTCGCTCGGCTCAAAAATACATCAGATTTGGTTGCAAAATCAGCTGATTGTTCTAAAATCGGCTGCGAAATTGGAATATATTGGAAAATCTGCTAAAAGAAATGGCATATTGGGGTTCAAAAATTGGTGAGGTGTTGGAAATACAGCTCTGCTGCCCACAGCTGCACGTTGTAGTGTAGTATTTTACTATTGACAGTATTGTAGTAACGATCTTCCTGATGGCTAATGTGGTTTGAGAGGAGGTCAAAGGACAGGAGTCACACGACCTCAACGCACTAGTACTACAACTTACAAGTACTGAAGTAGAGAGCTCGAGCGGTCATGCTTGCAGCAACATCATTCATTCGTGAACGCACTTGGCAGCAGCATTTCGTCGACTTTCGGCGATTCTCAAAGGAACCCTCCAAAATCGGAAGGGTTTTCATTTTATTTTTTATTTTGCATGTATGGCTGTATCAAGAGTACACGGTTTTCATGTACTCTTGCTGTAGGCTATAATATACTGTCCCTCCAGGAAATCGCGATTCCACGCATGCAACAAATTTCGTGATTTTGGCCCAAACCTGCGATTTTCTGCAATTGTGATTTCTCTCATTTTTCGTGTTTTCTGCACTTTTCACGCAGTGCTTTCCGCATTATGTTGTTGTTTTTTTGCACAGTATGACTCCCTGACTCCCTGACTCGTAACGTTACTACTCCCGAGTAGATCTACTGCGCAAATAGCGTTTCTACAGACGCAGCAAATTTCGTGATTGGCCCAAATCCGCACTACGGTTTTCTGCAAATAATTCCGCGGATTCCTGGTAAGTCCCGCATCTTTCGGCCACATTTTTTGTTGTTTTCTGCCGCAATTTCTTGCACAAGTTGTGGAGACTTTTTCCGCAAATTCCCGCAGGGACAGGGTAGGTGTTCGCAACCCCAGACGAAGACATGCATTTTTCTTCACTTTTCTTTTTTTTTTGAAACTAGTTTGGCACAGAGTGAGATACATGTACATCCATGTGAGGCAGATGGATCGTCAGCCACGAATAACATCTTGCAAGATAATTTTGAGGATGCAAAAAAAGACCAACTTGGAGGAACTACAAGTTATGCTATGTCCACTAACACCACGAGTTACTAAACAATCCGCTCATGCGATAACATTGCACGGCACTGATCGACGGTACTGACATGCATGAACAACCGCCACTGTCCTTCACAGCTGAGACTTTCAGCTCGTGCTTGTTTTAGTTGTGCTCACCTTCCCCTCTTATGTTATTGTTAGGCCCACAAGTAATTACAATAATATTCTGTCCCCGGGGAAAATTGCGCAAAAAAATCGCAAAAAACGCGGGGGAAAACGCGGCATAATTTGCGGTGAATTTGCAGTAAATATGCGGTGAATAATATTGATGTGCGGCAATTTTCAGTGAGTATGTAGTGAAATCAACCAGTTACAAGTCTCTGGTGTAAGCACTCGTCATATTTGAGTAAAAAGCCGCCACGATGAGACGTTGCTGACCGAACAGTGCACTGTGTGTACGTGTAGTGCAACAAAAAAGTTAAAAAAACGCGGGAAAATCGCGGAAAACGTGGTCTTTTAAAAAATCGCAAAAACTCGGAAAAAAACGCGGCCGCGGAATCGCAATTTTCCCTGGGACAGGAGAAGGACCATGTCGTCACCCTGATGGCCCAACTCGAGCCAGACCTGCAACGCACCCTACAGCTTGCCTCGGAGAAAGGCGCCTCAAGTTGGCTGACATGTCGGCCATTGCAAAGGCATGGCTTCACCCTGCACAAGGGCGCCTTCCGCGATGCCATATGCCTCAGGTATGGATGGGATCCTGATCGCTTACCTGCAACATGCGCGTGTGGAAAGCCATTCTCGACCACCCATGCCATGTCATGTGCCATCGGTGGCTATCCCTCGTTACGGCACAACGAGGTCCGAGACCTAACAGCAGCACTGCTACGCGACGTCGCACATGATGTTCATGTTGAGCCGCACCTCCAGCCTGTGACCGGTGAGCGCTTTCCGCTGCGGTCCACCATCACGGCAGAACAAGCTCGGCTGGATGTAGTTGTCAGCGGTCTACACGGTGGACGGTTTGAGAGGACCTTTCTAGATGTCCGGGTTTTCAACCCATTTGCCCCCTCAAATCGGAAACCAACGATCGCTGGCAGCTACAGAAAGCACGAAGAGGAGAAACGGAGGAGTTATGAGAGTCGCATTCTCAACGTTGAGCACGCTTCCTTCATCCCCGTGGTGTTCAGTACGACTGGTGGCCAAGGGAAGGCAGCCTCCACTCTCTTTGGCCGCATTGCAGGCATCAAGTCTGAGAAGAATGGTGAGCCTTTCTCTGTGGCAATGGCTTTGATCAGAGCCCAGCTGTCCTTTGCTCTCTTGAAGGCGGCCGTGGCATGCCTTCGTGGGCATCGCCACAAGTCGAGCAGGTATGACCCTCATGCATATTCTGCCACACTTGCTGTCTCCGAGTGTCATCTGTAGACAACCTGTCTGTTTCTCCCAGTTTTTCCCCTTTTTCTCTGTATCATTTTGTATGTTATAATTTCCGCGGATTCCAGTTTTTCTCCCTTCATTATAATTTAAGCGCAGTTTAGCGCGTATTGGCTTATGATTTCTTTTTCTTCTGTTTGTATTTAGCGCTTGACCGGTTATTATTTTCCTTCTCTTTATTTTGCGCTACATATTATTATTTTTCTGGTAATAATCGCATAGTTCAAAAGTCCAAAAAAAAAAAAAAATTCCCTGGGACAGAATATTAATTTATATAATTTATTCCCGTAGCTATGCAGAAGACGTTACTTCAGTAACGTCTGGCGCTAGCCAGGGTCCACACAGCTTTAATTTGGTATTTGTGTGTGTGTGTGTTTGTTTGTTTGTTTGTGTCACGCCTGGCGCTATCCCGTATCTGTCCCGTATCTGTGACTACAAAGGCTCTACAGGATTGTACATAACAGCTATCCACAATATTTGCGGGCTCCTGTATCTGTCCCGTACCGTACCAATATTCGTCGTATTATGCATACGACTCCCTGATGTAGAGTGGGATTTGGAAAGAAATAGGGAAACGAGGAGGAAATTAAATTAGAATAGACGCCGATTAGGTGATAGGGTGCGTCAGCATAAACATACTTTGGAAGAGAGATCCCGTCGTCTCCAAAATAAGCGTGAACGAGCGATTCAGTGCCGGTCACAGGAAACGTCGGAAGAGAGATCCCGTCGACTCCAGAACGCCCGTGATCGGTAGAGTCCGGCGGTACCAGGCAACGTCAGGACAGACTTCCCGTTGAGTCCAGAACGCCCGTGATCGGCAGAGTCTAAGCCGGTCCCAGGAATCGTCAGGACAGACATCCCGTCGAGTCCAGAACGCCCGTGATCGGCAGAGTCTAAGCCGGTCCCAGTAAACGTCAGGACAGACATCCCGTCGACGCGCAGAAAAACTAAATCTGCAGCCTCTTTTGCCGTCGAACAGGATACGTATTTATTCCCGTAGCTATGCAGAAGACGTTACTTCAGTAACGTCTGGCGCTAGCCAGGGTCCACACAGCTTTAATTTGGTGTTTGTTTGTTTGTTTGTTTGTTTGTGTCACGCCTGGCGCTATCCCGTATCTGTCCCGTACCGTACCGTACCAGCCAAGACAGCTGGCCACAATATAATATCGCTACAACAATAGCAGATTTCCACGCAGATGGGAAGACTCCTGCACGATATGACAAGAGACGCCGAGACCTTTGAGGTCGGCAGAGCAGCCTGGCCCCGCCACCACTTCTCGCACATATTCGGGAATATAGTGGACTTTCGTATAAAAATAAAATAAAATAAAATAAATAGCAAGCACAGGGGATACGACAAGGAAGGCACCAGCACTTTAAGGACTTCATTTGGAATACCGTCTTTTCCAGGAGACTTGCAGCTCTTTAAAAGACGTTTCAGTTGTTTGCGGACCACACCAGTTGTTGTAAAGACCTCCAGAAGTGGAGCGCG